TGTTGTTCAGTTTTTGTATTGCTGTTCAGTTTTTGTTTTTTTTCCATTTGACAATTTTTATTGTTTTACATTTTTACTTTAAACCTTGGGGTACAGAAAAGAAAGGGGTTTGGGGAAAAAGGAAGTGTCAGAACATTCCATGTCATTCAGATTACATTACATGTATCATACGATTGGTTCTGCGTTAGTCTCTGGGCGCTTGGGTGTAGAGTGGCCGGCCTAGCACGGGCTATGTTGTTAGGATTTATGCCCTTTCCCATAAGGGTTCTCGTGGTCTTTAGGAATTCCACCTGTGTTGTTGTTACTGCGTGCTATGTTTAATTTGCTTCTGAGTTTTCCATCTCCTAACTCTTTCTTGGTCGTCCTTTTCCTATTCTCACTGTTCACCCACTCAAGGTCATCGACCCGCCATTTGGTCGCTTTGCCCCTTACCCTTGTACTCTTCCCAACCTCTCACTAGCTGGGCTTACGTGTTTTGCTGTCGTGGTACATGTGGTTGATCTTAGTACAGCCCACCTCGTTCCATTTTTTTGTGTCACATGTCGGGATCCCTACTGCTATGCACGGACTTGGGGCGTCCCCTAGGAGTGTCCCCTCTTTACCTTCCCTCTTGCGGATTTCATCCTAAAAGTGGAGTGTTAGTTGTGTGGTCATTAGGGGGTGTACATGTTGGGGGCGGAGTTGTTTCGGGAGCCACAGGAGTTCCCTGAGAGATGGGCTGTTTGTCCAGTGGGCCTCTATCTGAGTCCATTGTGGAGTCTCTCCTCCCGCCGTTGCCACCTTGATTGCTGTCAGTTGTGCCGCCCTATAATATGCTTGGATAGTCACAGACCCCCTTTCATGGTTTGTATTTGTAGTATTTTAGTGGCCACCCTTGGTCTCTTGTTGGCCCATACAAATCTGATTAGTGTTTTTTTAAATTAGGTCAGGTACGTTTTGCAGTTTTATGGGGAGGGTTCTCAGGAGATACTGGAGTTTCAGGAGCAGCATCATTTTTATCGCCGTGATCCTCCCCACCCATGACAGGTATTTCCTTTCCCATGTCCCCAAGGTGACTGTTGCTTCCTTCATAAGTCTGTTGTAATTTAGGTCTAGTAGTTTTTCAGTGCGTGGTGGGATGCGAATGCCCAGGTAAGTTAAGTGGTCCTCTCGCCAATCAAAGGGGAAGGCGTTTTTGAGTCTATTGAGTGTTTCCCCTGGTATCCCCAACCCCATTGCTTGTGTCTTTGTGACGTTTAATTTGTAGTAGGAGTGTTTCCCATATTCCGTGTTGGTGGCCATTAGGCTGGGGAGGGATATGTGGGGTTGTGTCAGGGTTAGAAGGATGTCATCCGCGAATAAACTCACCTTGTATTCCCTCTACCCTATTTTTACCCCGTGTATGGAGGTATGTTGTCTAATTGCTGCCGCTAAAGGCTCCAGGGCCATGACGTACAGGAGTGGCTATAGCGGGCATCCCTGTCGGGAGCCGTTTGAAATTTTGAAGGGGTCCGAGACGAACCCTGAGTTGATGACCCTTGCTGTTGGTGCATTGTACAGAGCCCTGACCGCTGAGATGAAGCCCTCCGGCACCCCAAACTGTAAGAGGACCAGCTCAAGGAACTCCCATCCCAGTCGGTCAAAGGCTTTTTCGGTGTCCAGTGACACCAACACTCCTCCCACCTTCAATCTCATTGTACACGCTGTGTACAATGTCCAAAACCTTCCTAGTGTTGTCTCCTCCCTGCCTGTTCTTTATGAACCCCACTTGGTCTGTGTGTATAACCTGTGTGAGCATTCTGCCAAGGCGCAGTGTGTAGATCTTTGCGTAGAGCTTAGCGTCAGTGTTGAGCAGGGATATTGGCCGAACGTTTTGAGGGCATGTGGGTGGTTTGCCCGGTTTTGGAAGTGTGATAATGTGGGCAAGTAGGGATTCGGTGGGTAGCTGTTGTCGTGTAGTGGCTTCATTAAATGCGTTTGTCAGGTGTGGCGTTAGGATTGAGGCAAATTGCTTGTAGTAGCAGTTTGCAAAGCCATCTGGACCTGGTGCTTTGCCCAATGGTAGTAGTTTGATGGCTTCCGCCACTTCTGCAACTGTTATGCTAGCCGTGAGCTCCTGTTGTTGTTGCGGTGTAAATGTTGGCAGGGGTATGGAGTTCAGGTATGTCTGTATTGCTTTAGGATTCGGTTGGGGTGTGTGTGCGTCCTCAGCTAGGTTGTACAGTGAGGCGTAGTATTTTGCAAATATGTGCTTATGTCTTTAGATGCTGTTATTTTGTGTCCCTCAGCTGATGTTAAATAGGCTATTTTTTGTTGTGCTTGCTTGGTTTTGAGAAGTTGGGCTGTCAGTTTGCCTGCTTTGTTTCCCTGAGTAATGGGTTGCTTTTAGTTTTTGCAGGTAGTGCCCTGTTTTTTCTAGGGCTTGTTTATGTATGGCCTGTGTAATCGTCATGATGCGTAATTTCAGTTTGTGGGATTTGTTGATTTTGGGAGTTAAGGTCCTGCAGTTCCCTTTGCCATTGTTGCATCTGTGTTTGCGCTTGTCGTTTTAGGTAGGATGCTTGTTTTATCAACAGTCCCCTGGTTTCCGATTTGTGTGCTTGACATATTGTGTTTTTGGATGTATCCTCAGTGTTGTTTTCTGTGAAGTAGTGGGTGAGTTCTATTTCTAGTGTTTTTTGAATGCATTGTCTGTGAGGAGTGATGCGTTTAGTCTCCATGGGCTTCTATGTGTGGATTCGTATAAGTCTGTCATGGTCGCCACTACTGGTGCATGATCCGACCACGTTATCTGTTCAATGGAGCAGTCTTTGACCTGTTCCAGGTGTTGGCCCGTAATCAGTATGCCATCGATTCGTGAGTAGGTATTATGTACAGTGGATAGGAATGTGTAACCCCGTTCCCCCGCATGTAGTGCTCGCCATGCATCATAATAATGGTTGTCTTGTAGCAGTTTTTGTAATGCCCTGCCCTGTCTCTTGAGCGGTTTCAGTCTGGTGGTTGTGTGTGGGCCCGTGGTGTCCATCAGTGGGTCCAGTACATGGTTAAAGTCGCCACATATCACCCCTATACCCTGGCGTATAGTCGACAATTTTTTGAACACCTTGTGGAGAAAGTTTCTTTGTTCCTTATTTGGGGCATAGACACTTGCAATCGTGTATAGAACGCCATTAATTGTCCCCACCACCATAGCGTATCTACCTTCTGTGTCTACCTCTGACTGTATGAGGGTGAAAGCCGCATCCCTGCTGATGAGTATAGATGCCCCTTTAGATTTGGTGGAGTATGTGGCGTGGAATTGGTGTGGGTAGTCTTGCTGAAACAGAGGTGAATGTGCTTTGGATTTGAAATGAGTTTCCTGGAGGCACATGACCTCAGGCTTGAGTTGGTTTAAATCTTTGCGAAGCAAGCCTCGCTTCGCTGGGTGATTAAGCCCTTTAGTATTGTGAGAGTATATTTTCATGGGGGGGTTGTACATTTGGGTTTCGAGCTGTGGTTGTCTTGTGATATCTATTTGTAGGAGAGGCACCCTTCCCAGCATTGTCGAACAGGGTGTCCACTTCCTGTTTTGGGCCGTGTGTGGGTGGTAGCCCCCACCACTGGGGAGAACCTTGTGTGGTTTGGTGGTATGAGATAATACATGCATTAATAGTGCACAGTGAAAAACATGGAGGTTAAACAGATTAACTAAAACATTAAAAACTAAACATTTTGCCATATTATTGGCCTTGCGCCTTGTGTAGGCACTGTGGGGTAGGAAGTAGTGTACTTCCATGCCTGATCGCATTGGTCATTTGGCCTAGTCGGGGTGTGTCAGTGGTGTTTGCACCCCCTTTTCGTGTCACTTTAGAGGGTGCTGATCCTGTGTTTGGGGGGTCAGGTGAAGTGCCCTTGGGTCTTTACCCTGTTTACGAGTTGGGTTATATTAAAATTAGGGTGATGTCTATCTCTCTTGGTTCCCCTTGGAGGGCACCCTTTCCCCCCTTGCAGTCAATGTCCCATTGTCTCTGTGAGGTACTTGCCACTGTCTGTGTATGTGGGCCGCGGCCTTATCTGTTTCTGGTGACCTTCTTCCATGTTGGAGATAGCTTGGCCCATCCTGCGGCTTGGGATGTTGTCTGCGGTGGTGGCAGGCCCCAATCTTTCAGTGCTTGAATACTGGCTTCTGGGGTCATGATGGCCGTCAGCTTGCCTTCATGCATGACTAGTAGCTTGAAAGGGAATCCCCATCTGCTTCTTGTGTTGTCTCAGTTGCTCTGTGATTCCTGAGAAGGTTTTCCTTTTTTTCAGCATTACTGCTGATATGTCTACGTAGATTGTGATCCCCTGGTATGGTGTTGGGAGTTTCGAACGCTGCCTGTTTGCCCTCATGCTATGTTCCTTTACATGGAAATAGTGTAGCCTTACTAGGATGTCTCGTGGCTCTTCTGATGTTAGAAATCTCGGTTTGGGGACTATGTGATATCTGTCTAGCAGGAGCATGTCTTGGTGTATGTCTGGAGTGAGGATTTTTAACAGACCTTGTAAGTATGTGTGTAGATCCGCTGTGCTGACTGTCTCTGCTACCCCTCTCAGGCGCAGGTTATTTCGTCTTAAGCGGTCTTCCATGTCTGCCAGCTTGTTTCCAAAGGTCTCTATTGTGTCCTGCATTTCATCCATTTCAGCTCGCATGACATTATAGACTTCAGCTTGGTCCGCCATCTTGTCTTCTAGTGATGATATGCGCGTACCCAGATCACGAATTTCAGATTTGGTTTCGTTTAGTGATGTTTGGAGAGTGAGTTGCAGCTTTTGGTGCATGTCATCCAGCATTTTTTGTATTATGTTTTGGGTTGCTGGGGCATCTTCAGCCGTTGGTCCTTGTATTTCATTTTGTCCGCCGCAGGCGCCATCTTGGGAATCCTCTGATCTCGCCAGCATTTTCCCCTGGGCATTCCGGACAGTAAAGAATTCGTTTTTTTCGCTTTTCTCGATCTGTCTTCGTTCCTTTCTGTTCGGACATTGTTGCTGATGTGATTTTCCGTTGGTAAGGTGTGCGTCCCATGACGGCGACTTTGCAATCGGATGTCTGCTCTATCAACTTTCGCTGCCACTTTCTATGCCTACCATGGTGACCACAGGTAACGGGGAATCAGGGTTCGATTCCGGAGAGGGAGCCTGAGAAACGCCTACCACATCCAAGGAAGACAGCAGGCGCATAAATTACCCACTCCGCAAGGAGGTAGTGACGACAAATAACAATACAGGACTCTTTAGAGGCCCTGTAATTGTAATGAGATCACTTGAAATCCTTTAACTAGGATCAATTGGAGGGCAAGTCTGGTGCAGAGCGACTGACCCATGTGTGCTGCAGCTGAAACTCCACTATTGCCTGCTGCTGCTCGCATAGTCTCTCCAGCATGTGCAAGGTGGAGTTCCACTTTGTGGGTGCGTCGCATATGAGGCGGTGAGCGGGAAGGCCGAAGTTACGCTGCAGTACAGACAGGTGAGCAGCAGCAGGGTGAGAACGCTGAATAGCACGCACAGCCGCTACAGTGAATGTCACATCCTGTTCCAAGTTGTGGATCAGTCTAGCGATGGCTTCTGGTATCCAGTACTCTTTTTACTGAAGCTGCATCAGGGTCCTGGTATGTGGCTGCACAAACGCCGGTGCTCAACACCAGGGGGCTTGCGGTTACCCTGCACCAGACCCTGCTAATCCATTCCACACTGTGACACCTAACTTCAACATCATGCATACTGGGTCCCGGTCGTCTGACCGCCGCCCAGACAGTGCATCGCAAGACCACTTAATGTTATCTCACATATCTATTATTCTTATTCTTATTATAGCCAATTTTACCACCCGAACTCCTCCCACAGTTTTTACATTACATAGACAGTAATATACCGAAACGTGCGGATTGTTCATGATCGGATTGCTATTACTTTGTGGAACGTTTCGCCGAATGCTTCACGGAATATTGTCGTTCTTGTGGCGAAATTGGTCCCATAGGAATGAATGGCAAAATGTTCAAAACTAGAGTGGGAGCTGGCAAAAGCTGAAAAATCAGGACATGATTTCTAAACTGCCACCACTCCCTCATTTTCAAGCCCACCTACACAAATCTTATATCAAAATGTTCAGCTATCCCTGCTGCCAAAATGTCCACGGCTAAGCCATAGTCCTGATAGTTTTACAATATGACCATTTGTTTGCAACTCATGCTGTCCATTGACATTCATTGAAACCCCACTCTAGCCAGCTAAAATTTGAAGGGCAATTTCTAAACTGTGACTGTGCCTTAATTGTTAATACTTCAGAGACATACTATGCATCAAAATGTAGGTCTGGGTCTTGTGATTCTCACAATATAAAGCTCTTCTCTGTAGGATTAATAGTTTTTAAAATACGACCATTTGAAAATGGCAACCGCCAAAATACTCTGACCTGTGCCAGGCTGGAGCAGCAAGTGATGATGTTATAGACAGGGCCTTTTGTACACCTGCTAATGTTTTTATAAATGTATGTTTTAATGTAGCTGTGAAGCACTTTGGGCATCAACGTGGCAATTAAATGTGCTATATAAATAACTAATAACAGTTACTCCGTCCACTCCAGTTATACACTACTGGTGGAGGCAAGAACACTTTACACAATTTCCCCAGAAATTATAGCTTTTCTAGTTATTCTTATTCTTATTATAGCCAAATTTACCACCCTAACTCCGCCCACAGTTTTTACACTACATAGACAGTAATATACCGAAACGTACGGATTGTTCCCGATTGGATTGCTATTACTTTGTGGAACTTTTTGCCAAATGGTTCACGGAATATCGTCGTTCTTGTGGCGAAATTGGTCCCATAGGAATGAATGGCAAAATGTTCAAAACTAGAGTGGGAGCTGGCAAAAGCTGAAAAATCAGGACGTGATTTCTAAACTGCCACCACTCCCTCATTTTCAAGCCCACCTACACAAATCTTATATCAAAATGTTCAGCTATCCCTGCTGCCACTAAAAATGTCCATGGCTAAGCCATAGTCCTGATAGTTTTCACAATATGACCATTTGTTTGCAACTCACGCCGTCCATTGACATGAAATATGCTATATAAATAAATAAATAATAACAGTTACTCCACCCACTCCAGTTGTAGACTACTGGTGGAGGCAAGAACACTTCACACAATTTCCCCAGAAATTGTAGCTTTTCTAGTTATATGTTGTTCTTATGTTAATTTGCAAAGGCCGTGTGGGTGGCCTGGATGAGACCAGCTCTCTTCCCTGGACACCACTGGGAGGAGACTTGGCTTCTGTAACAAAATACTATGTAAAAGCGGTATACACACAGCGACACCACTGGGAGGAGACTTGGCTTCTGTAACAAAATACTATGTAAAAGCGGTATACACACAGCGAACACTTCACATGATTCTAAGGGATGGATGCCCCGCTCGGTATCCCCCCTGTACATTATAGACACAATCTATAGGTACTGTTGCACACCACTACTCTACAACCCCCCATAAAAATATGTTCAATGAATGTTAGAGGATTGAATATCCCAGTTAAATGACACATGTTGGGGAGGGGATTTAGGAATCTACGGGCGGACGTAGTGTGTCTCCAGGAGACTCACTATAGAAAGAATGATCATCCTAACACGTTACAGACACGCTATCCCTGGCAGTTCCACTCTACAGCACCAACCAAATCAAAATGAGCATCTATTCTAATTAGCAATTCCATAAGCTTTACGCTACACTCTGAGGACATAGACGCTCAGGAACGGTATGTCATAATTACAGAACTTTTTAATAACATGCTCTACACTATTGCCAAAGTATACGCACCAAACACCAACCACAGAAACTTCCTACACACCATACTGCAGAAACTGACACACATACAGGGGGGAATTACGATCATCTGTGGAGACTTTAACCACATTTTAGACTCCACGGTAGACATGTCTCTGACATGCTCAAGACTTGGGTTCAAGACCCTCAAAAAAAATTGTAAACAGCTGCAAAAGCTCCTAGCCCTCCACCACATGTATGATGTGTGGAGAATTACACACACGAGTGAACGCGCGTATACCCATTTCTCTCAGGTACAAAACTCCTATTCCCGGATAGACGGGTTCTTAATACATGGAACAGCTCTAGATCAGGTAACGAGATGTGATGTGGGCGACATAACGTGGTCCGACCACGCAGCGGTCACTTTGGAGTCGAAAGACCAATACGATTTTACACACAGGAGTCCCTGGAGAATACAACCTACGCTGTTACAAGACACAATATTTACACAGGATCTGAGATACGCACTCCAACATTACTTTGTAGAGAATGACACACCTGACATCTCCCCAGGCACACTCTGGGTGGTTAGAGGAATCCTTATCAGCAAAACCGCATACATATGCAAACGGGAGAGACAGCTAACCCTACAATGGCAAAGGGAACTTTACCAACTAAACGCTCAAAACCAGGCTAACCAGTTACGAGAACTCAAAACTCAAATAGCCCAAGTCACTAGGAAGCTCCACCAACATGCCTTAGAAAAGACAGGGTATTGCTTACTAAGGCTCAGAGCCAATTCATATGCACAGGGCAACAAAGCAAGTAAACTACTCGCAAATACCCTTAAAGCCAAACAAACCACTCAGAAGATAGCATACATAATGTCCCCCATGGGGGAGAAAACTATGGTTCCCAAAGGGATTAGCGACGTATTCGCTGGCTACAATGCCGCCCTCTACAACTTAAAAGACGACCCACGTACACAACAACTGATTGCGGAAACCATTGATGCATATTGAGCCACGACGGATCTTCCTAAATTATCACACCAGCAAAGCAAAACACTCACCGAAGCTATCACAGAGGATGAGATCGCGGCTGCGATCAAGGCCCTCTCACTGGGCAAATCGCCCGGACCCGTCGGGTTTGACAACTCGTATTACAAGACATTCGCTACAGTCCTGACCCCCCAATTAGCCAATACCTTTAGAGAAGTAATTGTGAATCAGGCACTACACAGACATCCTGACGGCTCATATCATAACCCTGACCAAACCAGGCAAACCCCCCACACCTCCCCAAAACTTTAGACCGTTTTCGTTGTTGAATACCGACGCAAAGCTCTTTGCGAAAACACTGGCCAATAGGCTGGGAGCGCTGCTACCCCACCTGATACACACAGATCAGGTGGGCTTCGTGGCAGGAAGACAAGGGTCGGAAAACACCCGTAAGGTTCTGGACATAATGTATTACCTGGACATAAGGGAGACGGGGGGAAGACTGCTGGTATCCCTGGACGCAGAGAAAGCATTTGACCGCCTGCATTGGAGGTTCCTGGAGGCGGTCATGCGCAAATTTGGAGTGCCGGGTCCATTCCTCTCAGCAGTACGGGCATTATACAACACACCGACAGCCCAGGTGCTAAACGCGGGGTTCCTCTCAGAACCGTTTCGAATTACCAACAGAACGAGGCAGGGCTGCCCGCTCTCCCCGTTACTATATGTAATGGCCCCAGAACTGCTAGCACATCGGATTAGACAAAACAAATCCATTAGGGGTGTCCACATAGGAGGCATAGAATATAAAACAAACCTCTTCGCCGACGATGTGCTGTTGACTCTCTCCCAACCAGAGACATCCCTACTTAGCCTGATGATAGAAATAAACACATATGGGGATAATTCCAATTATAAAACGTGCTTAAAACCCAAGCCATGGGGGTGGGGGAGTTAGGGGAAGATGTGAGGGCACTTAGGGATACCTTTGCCATGGACTGGAGAGATGACCACGTCTCCTTCTTGGGGATAAAACTAACCAAAAACATAAATGACCTATATTACTCCAACTACGAACCATTAAAAACAGGATATAAGAGTCAGGAAGCACAATCCTGGCTCTCATACCCAGAGGGCTTCCAGCCATGCTTCCAAGCCTTCTAATTACTAAAATATTTAGATTTGGGGTCACTAGGTAAGGGGGAATAACTTATGGCACTATAACAACTTCATCCAGATAAAGGAAGGTACATCAAGGCACACTGGAAAGAAAATAAAGACCTCAATCGTGTTGTAAAAGGGTAACCCACAGGAAACCTAGAACCAGAAGTGAAAAAAACAACAAACACATCCTACTCAAGTACATGATCTGAATAGTATGGAGGAAAGAGACTACAAAATATTGAAATCTTTATTGAGACAACAATGTATATTCATAAGAAAATACA